CCTTTAGAATTTAAAGGGGAGCCCTTCTTCGCATCTTCCTTGCTTCTGGTGATTTGTCATTAGTCTTTGACATCCCTTGGCTTGTGGATACCTCACTTCAATCCTCTGTCTTCACATGGCCTTCTCTCTATGTGTCTTCATATTGTCTTCCCTCTGTTCCTGTCTGTGTGTCCAAATTTATCCTTATGAGGGTATCAGTCATATTGGGTTAGGGCCCACCCTGGCCCCATTTTAATGTGGTTACATCTGCAAAGACCTTATTTCCAAATAAGGTCACATTCTGAGATGCTAGAGGCTAGGACTTCAACATATCTTTTTGGGGGAACATAGTTCAAGCAATAACCTCCTAATGCAATTATATCATTCTTTGGACTTAAGCTTTCCAGATACAACTTGTTGTTCCTCTTGTGGAATATTACATTGATTAAATTGCCTCTAGTTCTTCAGCTATCAGATGCTTTTCCCTGGCAGGCTGATGTAATTAGGGAACTAATAACTGGATCAGTAAGGAAAAGAGCATTTTCTTTCATATTTTCCATCTGTTCCAGTGATTCATTTAGGGCTTTCTGTGTGTGTGTGTATGTGTGTGTGTGTGTGTTGCCACTGAATATGTGGTTGTTATGATATATGAGACCATGACACATAAGGGAAGAAGGGAAGGGAGAGGATCTGGACTGTTCTCTGCTAAAGGTTCAGGAATGTCATCCTTGCAGCGGGGGGCATCAGGAGGCAGGATGTGGAGAACAGTCTCATATATGTAACTCTGTATAAACAAGAAATTTTTTTTTTTAAGGTTTTATTTATTTGAGCAAGAGTGAGTGAGAGAGCGAGGGGAGAGGGACAAGCAGACTTTGTGCTGAGCACAGAGCCTGACACAGGGCTTGATGCCACATCCCTGAGATCATGACCCAAGCTGAAATCAAGAGTCAGAGGATTAAAACCAACTGAGCCACCCAAGCACCCCTAAACAAGAAATGTTTCTAAAGATGTTTATTGTTCAGAAAATCTATTTTAGTGTTGCATGAAGCACGTTGGGTTGAAGCCATGCAGGGCTATTTAAACAGCACGTGAGCTAATATGTTGCTTGTCCTAGGAAGGATTCACCACTATCCATGATGATCTCTGTGTAATACCATTTTGTGGAAAATCCCATATTGCTTTGTCTGATTCCAGGTCCCTCATGGAAAATATTGGAATTTTAATTTTTGGCCTTTTAAAAGGTAGTTTTAAAGGTAAATATAATGTATACATTATGATTAGAAATTATTATTATAAAAAAGTAGAATAAAACAGTGGCTTATATTACTATTGAAATATTATCCATTGTAAATAAATCTGAAAATGATAGAAAGCTTTAAAAAATATGTGTTACCCATAGTCCCACAATTCAGAAATAACCACTGCTAATATTTTGGCCTATCTCCTTCTGATGTGTTTCAAGTTTTTGCAATACTTAAATAAAATTAGTGTCAATGTATGCATGTTTTGCAATATATTTTAAAATAAATAATATATCATAAGCATTTTCATATCATTAAATGATCTTATAACACTTACTATTGAATGGTTGCTTAAATTTCTTTATTTCTCTTTGAGTATTAGAGCTTTTTTAATTACTAAAGTAATGCATGGTCCTAATAATTTTAAAGACCCAAATAACCAAAAGAAAAACTACCGATGGCCTTCAGTCTTACCCTTGTGGAGATAACTAGTAATAATACTATGACATATATTGCATGGCAGTGTAATTGTCTGAATTTCTGTCTTCCACTGTTCATGGTGTTTTTAACCTTTGTAATTCCAGCCCTTAGTTCAGTGCTTAAAGTATAGTGGTTTCTTGATACACTTTTAGTAGGTGAATGGAGAGCCTGCAAGGATCCAGCTTGCAGTAGAATAAAATTCATTCCAGACTCAGCAACTTATGTGGATGGAGAGACAAGGTAGCTAACCAAAAGCTCTTAATGAATAGGAGCCTGCTCTTTCTGTTCATCTGAATCAGCCTCTAGGCAGAGAATTCAATTTAATTTTTCTCCCATCAGTCAAGCGGAAGAGCTGAAAAAGCAAAACCAGAGACAAGGGAGGCAGGAGGTGGAACAGGCTTGGATGAGGAGATCAGCAGCTGATCTCTTGTTCTTTCTCTGTTAGGAAGAGCATGAGATGAGAGGAGTCATGCTTCTCCCAAGGGTGAGTCCTAGCAGGAGCTGTGGTGGAGGCATTCTGCTGCTACTGGATCCTCCATGATGGAAGGACTGATAATTTCTCTGGAGGATTGAGACTCCAGCTGTGTCAGTGTGACCCTCATGGTTCTTCCTGGCTTGTCTCTAGAGTTTGCACCAGAGAAAGACATAATCATGCTGGGTTTTATTTGAAGGGATTTGGAGCTCTGCTTCTATGATTGGAATCTGGGCTGACAGAGAGTCTGGTATCTTTGGGTTATAGAAGGTTCCAACCGAAGTCTCTTCTGTGTTTAATTGGGAAATGTGTCTTAAGTCTGAGCATCTGTCTCTCAGACACCTGCCATGGGAAGGAGAGTGACCCATTTCTTAAAACTCTGCATGGAAATCTCAGTCCTTGCAAAAAAAATATAAGGGTATATTCTTTCCAATGCAATGGTCTGGTCCTTACCAACTCTCTCCTTCCTCCCAACACCCTCCCCAATATAAATATACATACAGATAAATATAGGATCAGCCACAAATAGTTGGGTGTATAGAAAGAGAGACAGACAGGAAAATGGGCAGACAGACAACCTCCACCTCCTTTTAGCCAGTGACAGTCATCACATCTCTGCTTCCTCTTAAAAGCTTCCCCATAAGCCAAGTTCAAGATCTTAACCATATTGACACCTTTGTTCTTATTGTTTTCTTCACCCTATAAAATCTCTACCCACCTTCTCTCCTGTCTATACCACCTATCTCCAAAGGCCTAGCTCAAGCTATGTTACTCTAGGAAGGCTCATTGTTCCGTTTCCATTCCTGTTAATCTTGCCCATTTCTCAACTTCTAGAGCTCTAACCTCTGGCCCATTTTCCCCTTTGGTGTGGTGTATGTATATTTGGAGAGTCATCTGTTTATAAGTTGAGAGATGGGCAATATGGGCTAAATGGGCTAAAACTTCTTTAAGCCCCCCAAGGCTTACTTGAGATTACCAGGAGTTCATTCAAAAATTATTTCTGTATGAGTTGCAAGATTATGGACTCAGAACGTTATAGATGGCAGCGTTACCTGGGTGTGGTATGCCAGACAGCACTCCCTAGGGGAACAGTACTGGGGATGTGATAATGGGAAGATACTTCATCTGACCCCATTTCTATAAACTTAAGGCCCATCTACTTTTGCCTTTCCCAATTTCCCCACCTGTGAAAGTGTGAAGAACATAAATAATAGAATTTTCATTATAAACTAGGCACCATGATTCCATGGAAGAAGACGGGAGCCAGGCATCAGAAAACTTAAATCCTAGTTCTTTTGACCAAAACTTAACTTCCCCAAGACTGAGTTCATTAACTATGAAACAGGAGGTTTGTGTGCTCACCTGTATATGTATTCTGTAACCACTGATACACAGAGGTGAATTGGGCATGATTCCTGCCTCTCTTATGACTCATAGCCTAATGGCAGGAGGGACATGCCAACCAGTATTGCCTTGGAGTGAACAGCTTCTTAGAGGCAGACAGTAAAAATAGTGATGGTACCTGAAGGGAGTGGTTGACTCTCCCTGGCAGATCAGAAAATGCTTGAGAGCAAGGATTCAAGTAGTCATAACTGCCTTGCCTTTCAGTGTCCTTGTAAGGCTCAAATATATGTGAAAGAGCACTGTAATCCACCTATTATTATTATTATTTCCATTATTTCCATTATCAGTCAGAGCTATTATACTTCCAGGCATACAATTAAAAATAAACTCCATACTTTTGGCTAGTCTGTGATAGGAATGTTGGCCTTTCTCTTATGTGTTACAAAGGGGTCAGATTCTACATCCATAAAGTAAGTGAATGTGGAATCTGACTTTATTAGCCATGCTGGGGGTTCTTCTTTATTTTTCCAAAGTCTTGAGGCTCTTCTAGAATTTTTTTCTCATTCCATGAGTTACTATCCATTCTTACGTGCCTATTTTAATTATTGATTTATTCAACAGATATTTGTTGAACTCTTTATATATATTGAAGGAATATAAATACAACTAAATAATACAGATGAATCTGAAAGACATAACCACGTATTACCTCATGATAAGTGCTCAGTGGAAACCAAAGATGAGTGCAGTGAATTGAGAAGGGAGAAAGATGAGTGGCTTGAAGTGGTTGGAAAAGGTTGCGTGGAGGGAGCCACCCACGCTTGTGTAATGCTTACTTAGGAGTAAGCATGGCCTTATCTCTGTGAAGACCTAGGACTATAAACAAGCATGGTATCGTTATTGGCAGTGAAGAGTCCATTTCATTTAGATTATATATAGGAGCAGTGAGTGATAAAACTTGAACAGCGCAATATTTTATATGTAATATTGGCTCAGATGCCAGCTGATGAGTATTTTTACATGTGTTTTATTTCCCTGAGAACACAGAATCTACCTCTTCTTTATCTTCATGTCCACCAGAGTGCCTTACCTGTAGGAGCTATTCAGTAAATAAATTTTAAATAAATTTTGCTGAATTGTTTTGAATGGAGCTAAAGATATCAAGGAATTTGAAGAAAAATGAGAATTTTATGAAAGGCTTTACCCCTGAAGGAGAGAATGATGGTTGGCATCAGAAAGGATTTACACTCAGCTCAAAATCATCGGTCGATTGGATATATGTTGAGCACCTACTTGATGCAGAAGTCACCATGATAAGCATGACATGGTCATATTCATAGCTTTTATCTAGATAAAATGGATGCCAACTCAGGTCGGCACTCTGGTACACTAGAATGTCCTTATCCAGGGGGATGCCACGTGTATTTCTGTTGACCAGTGAGTGTCCTTGATGCTTATGCTTTTCTCACTTCATTGTTTTGCAGCTCTATAGCTCCATGGACTTTGGAAGACGGTGGCAACTCATGCATGAACGCATCACACCCAACAGGTTTTACTGGTAAGCCCCAGCCGCAGACCCATTACCCTCTTGGATACAGAATTATCAGAGAGCATAGCACTCAGGATAATACTGGAGACACCTTCAGCACTTGAAGACACATGTCTTCTAGCCCTTTGCTACTCGGTGTGGTTCACAGACTGGCAGCATCAGCATCACCTGGGAACTTGTTAGAAATACAGAGTCTCAGGCAAGACTTCCTGAGTAGGAGTCTGCACGTAACACAGTTCCTAGTGATTCAGGTGTACGTTAAAGTTTGAGAAGCACTGGGCTAGGGTGCTCCATGAGAAGGTCATGACCAGGTGCTCTTAGCTGGGTGCTAATCTCCCTTTGTTTGGGAAAAGTATATATTTTGTGTACCTATTCTAAAAGCAGTATTTGCTCAAGTGTACTCTGAAGAAAACTAGTTCCACAAAATGCTTCTCCTTTCTTAAGTGTTTCTATGGTCAAGCAATTTTAAGTAATGATTATTTAACTCTGCCTTACTGAAGATGCAGGGTTCATGTTAGGATAATTAAGACTCTGGAGAAACCCAGAGACTGAAGAGGCCTCCTAAACTTATTTCGCTAAAGAATCCTTTTCCTATGTCACACATGATAAATCCTTCAGAACAGCTTCTGTGGAGCACATTCTGAAAAGCCTTTTTTAAGAGTGAGTATATGTTCCAAGTGGAAAATTAGCCCTCCCCCTATCAGAAAGTGTTTTTATTAATTGGTCTTCCTTTATACGTGTGTGCTATTTTTACCTTGGTTGTAGCAAGCTAAACGTGGTTTGGTATAATTTTATATTTTATTCTTCCCTGCTGCAATGTGAAAAGGCTTCTTACTTGTATCTTGCTTTCATTTCAGCAGAGGTATAGCCAAAGGAATAGAGATTAAGAAGCATGCACCCAAGTGTTTAATATGCTTAATTATATGCTTAATTAAAACAAAACCAAAATTAATCTTTGAAAGTAGTCCCTATTTTCTCTTTTTAAGCACCTTAGTTCAGTGCCCTTAAAAAGTCACAAGGTGGCCATTTTTGTCTTATATAAGGTGGAGGTGATGTGTGTGTGTGTGTGTAGTGTGGATGGTGATGAGTACTTTGTACATACATATATATATAGTCACACCAACATCTTTGGAAGCAATGGCTCCACCCAGTCCCCTGTGTATGCACAAAACTGTGACCAAAATTCAGAAAGATAACTGCAGAAGCATTCCGTGAGTACCCAGTGTGTACCAACCTACTGATTGCACACAGTGAGTGGGGGGTAGTGCTCTTGACTCAACACCTGGACTATCCCCACTTATTTTGCCCTTTTCAGACCAACTGTTATTAGGTCTGTACTGTTATTACACTTATTATTGGGTCTGTATTTAGAACTATTAAGATTTTTTAATAGACTAAGGCAGAAAAAGGAAGTATTTGTTTCTCTGATATTCTAGCTATGTGACTAGAGCCTTTTGCTCAGCCAAGAGGGACCAGTTTCTTGGTGTGCCATCACTCACAGGTCCTTCAAAAAGAAAAAAAAAAAAAGCCCTCTGCTATTTCTGGAACAAACTCTTGAGATGGTGAGGCTGTTGGCTGACTAGGAAGTCGAGTTGATGGAAAAGGAAAGTACAATAGACTGGATAAGCCTTGTCATCGTTTATGAGGGAAATTAAAGTAAGTGGACGAGGGGCAGCATTTTCCTATGTTTGGCAAAGAGCAAGAAGAGAAGGTTCCAGCTGCAGTCTGCCCTCCCTCTTCCTTTGTGTAGTGGAAAGAATAAATCCCCAGGTCCTGATAATTGTGTTTCATCTCTCCTGCATTTTTACATGTGTTTTATTTCCCTGAGAACATACCCTTCCCTCTTCCTTTGTGTAGTGGAAAGAATAAATCCCCAGGTCCTGATAATTGTGTTTCATCTCTCCTGCACTCTGTGATTCTTTCATATATGCCCCCATGGGGAAATATAAAAGTTAGTGTCCATGCTGGCTAGCCAAGTGGTAGCTGGCAATCCCATCTTCGTAATTACCACTTCTTCGTTTCTGATGTATAATTGCCATGATTATTCTTCTAGGTGTCATAGGAGTTGCAGTGGAAGAGCTCACTTTACACAGACATTTTCTTCCCCCAGTGACAAAATCCATGTCTGTCTAAAGCTCTAAACCATTTGTGTTGAAGAGACATGACCTGTATGGGTTGGGAGTAGAAACATTCACTCGGAACCTCCTTGAGAAAAGACAAATTGTGCCTCTGTCTGGTGTAGAGCCCTGCTCTGGCTGACACAAGGACTCTTCAAGCTGTGATTCCCTCATCTGTGTAATGGGAACAAGATTCTTCTTGTCAATTTCATAAGGTTCTATAAAGGACCAGATATGATCCATTGGACATTTGTCACTTTCATCTCTTCAATTTCATATCAGATTTATCATTTGTATGTTGTAAGTCATTAAGAATTATGCTTTTTAGCATTTCCAAAGACCATGACACCTAAGTGATTCATCATTTTTCTGGGACACAAATTTGTATCCCATGCATGATGAGATTTGTATACCTGTGGACATCTTATAACAATTGATTGGATCTGATTTACTCGGGAAGATCCACTTCTCAGCCTAACCTCTACTGCCCTCTACTCTTTATTGAGTCATAATTCTTGTGCAGTGGTACAGCCAAAACAAATCAACAACAGAAAGCCCTAAAACTACTTGTCTGGGAGAGATGGTACAGTGGAGTTTTAGGGACAGTGGGGACACACTGGAGGGTGTGTAGGCATGCTAAAAACAAGACATTGAGATGAAGGATGATGTTAATACTTTTACCTTGTACGTAGACAGAGAGTGTACGTGCAGTTCACGAGTAATATCGCCCAGATATTGTTATCTATAATTTGGAGATTTGCAGTTGTCTAGGGATAGATCCTTCGTGAATGTAAATTTTCTTCTTCATTCTGCCTTCAGTTGATGGAAAATAGCACCTGGAGGGGATTTGTGGGAAAAACACTGTGATCCAGAAGTGATCTTTGCCGAGGGTGCAGGAGGAAGAACCGACCACACATGCCTCGTATTTGCTGTAATGGCCATGAACGTGTATTGGGAATAGCCAGGGGCTGCCTTTATTTTCCATTTCCTCCTTAGTGCCCCACAGTGCCTTTGAGTTAGGCAGGGCATGGGACATAATATTTATTAGCAGCAATTATAAAAGCTTCATCTGGAGGTAAAATTTTCTTTTTGAATTCCAGATGCTCTAACCCCATCAAGAGAGGTCACCTAGGAATCTTACATTATAGAGTGATTCAGCTATCCAGTGCATGCCCAAAGAATAGTACCGACTGACCTGAAAACTCCTTCTTTATATGTGACCCTTTCACTCATTTGATACCTGGTTAACAGGCAGATTACCAGGCCTGTCTTATGTTTCCATTTATCACCCCAGCTGCTTTAGCAATTATAATTTTCAAGCGGAGCACAAAAGTGGAATGTATGTCTTAACATAATCCCTTTCTTGTCTGCTTGGGCAAAGCTATCATGGGGAAAAAGTATGTGTTTTCTTTTGTTTTGTTTTTGTTTTTTAATATCCTACTGAGCTGCAAATGAATAGTATTTCCACTCTTCCAGTGGGAGATATTTAAGAGGCAGGCGCATTCTGCAGTGGGAAGATTGTTTTCTTTGCACATCCAATGTGAATACTTGCGGCTCACAGCTTTGCCTTTATGGCCCCTCACCCTCCCTAGGTGTTGCCTTCTTCTGGTATAACTTGGTTGGCCTCTACGTGCCTCTGCTCTGATGAAATTTGCTTGTATAGCCTTGAGAAAGAGAGAAAGAATGTCTCCAGTATCTCTTCTTATTAACTTCCCCTTCATTATTCTGTCTCCTGAAAGGTCGGGGTCTTTTTTGTTCCTATTTCTTGCCATCACTGCAGGAGTGTGTTCTGATAAAGTAATACACCCTAAGGTATCAGGGACTTTAAACTCTTAATCCTTTCCTGGGATGTTTGGGTTGCAACAATGACTGGTCTTGAGAGTAAGAAACCCTATAAGAAGTCAGTAGATGTAGTACTGGTTTAATTTATTTTAGTATTATTTTTATTTAAATGCAATTAGCCAACATGTAGTGCATCATTAGTTTGTGACAGAATGTTCAGTGATTCCTTAGTTGCGTATAACACCCAGTGCTCATCACATCACATGCCCTCCTTAATGCCCATCACCCAGTTACCCCAACCCCCCCACCAACCTCCCCTTCCACAACCCTCAGTTTGTTTCCTGGAGTCAAGAGTCTCTCATGGTTTGTCTCCCTCTCTGATTTCTTCCCATTCTGTTCTCCCTCCCTTCCCCTATGATCCTCTGCACTATTTCTTATATGAGTGAAACCATATAAGCTGATGAGTATTTTTACATGTGTTTTATTTCCCTGAGAACATACCCTCCAGTTCCATCCATGTCAATGTAAATGGTAGGTGTTCATCCTTTCTGATGGCTGAGTAATATCCCATTGTGTATATGGACCACATCTCCTTTATTCATTCATCTGTTGAAGGACATCACGGCTCCTTCCACAGTTTGGCTATTGTGGACATTGCTGCTATGAACCTTGCGGTGCATGTGCCCCTTCTTTTCCCTACATCTGTATCTTTGGGGAAAATACCCAGTAGTGCAATTGCTGGGTCATAGGGTAGCTCTATTTTTAACTTCTTGAGGACCCTCCATACTATTTTCTAGAGTGGCTGTACCAGCTTGCATTTCCACCAACAGTGTAAGAGGGTTCCCCTTTCTCCACGTGTAGTACTGGTTTTAGATCAGCCCTCTTTAGAGGGGCAGGAAGAAGTTCCCTTGAGGACTGCTCTTTTGAGCTGTTATGATGCCCAGTTGTAGGCTGATTAGTGGCTGGTGTGTAGGGACAGGCAGGGTGGGCTCCACGCCTCTATTGTACTTTGATAAGGTCAGTGTACTCACTGTAGATTTCTAGTGATGGTTTGTGCCAGCAGCTTCTCTCTTCTGGTTTTCAGAAAGGCCATGACGAGGAGGGTAAGGA